TGAACAAATGGTATAAACAAACATGATGTGTAGTTACCCTAAAGGACATTTAATATGGCGGGTACCGCTGAACAAATGGTATAAACAAACATGTGTAGTTACCCCGAACAGAAGGACATTTAATATGGCGGGTAATGCTGAACAAATGGTATAAACAAACATGTGTAGTTACCCCGAACAGAAAGACATTTAATATGGCGGGTAATGCTGAACAAATGGTATAAACAAACATGATGTGTAGTTACCCTGAAGGACATTTAATATGGCGGGTAATGCTGAACAAATGGTATAAACAAACATGATGTGTAGTTACCCTGAATGACATTTAATATGGCGGGTACCACTGGACACATGGTATAAACAAACATGATGTGTAGTTACCCTGAAGGACGTTTAATATGGCGGGTACCACTGGACACATGGTATAAACAAACATGATGTGTAGTTACCCTGAATGACATTTAATATGGCGGGTACCACTGGACACATGGTATAAACAAACATGATGTGTAGTTACCCCGAAGGACGTTTAATATGGCGGGTACCACTGGACACATGGTATAAACAAACATGATGTGTAGTTACCCTGAAGGACATTTAATATGGCGGGTACCGCTGAACAAATGGTATAAACAAACATGATGTGTAGTTACCCTGAATGACATTTAATATGGCGGGTACCGCTGGACACATGGTATAAACAAACATGATGTGTAGTTACCCTGAAGGACGTTTAATATGGCGGGTACCACTGGACAAATGGTATAAACAAACATGATGTGTAGTTACCCTGAAGGACGTTTAATATGGCGGGTACCACTGGACACATGGTATAAACAAACATGATGTGTAGTTACCCTGAAGGACATTTAATATGGCGGGTAATGCTGAACAAATGGTATAAACAAACATGATGTGTAGTTACCCTGAAGGACGTTTAATATGGCGGGTACCACTGGACACATGGTATAAACAAACATGATGTGTAGTTACCCTGAAGGACATTTAATATGGCGGGTACCGCTGAACAAATGGTATAAACAAACATGATGTGTAGTTACCCTGAATGACATTTAATATGGCGGGTACCACTGGACACATGGTATAAACAAACATGATGTGTAGTTACCCTGAAGGACGTTTAATATGGCGGGTACCACTGGACACATGGTATAAACAAACATGATGTGTAGTTACCCTGAAGGACGTTTAATATGGCGGGTACCACTGGACACATGGTATAAACAAACATGATGTGTAGTTACCCTGAAGGACGTTTAATATGGCGGGTACCACTGGACACATGGTATAAACAAACATGATGTGTAGTTACCCTGAAGGACATTTAATATGGCGGGTAATGCTGAACAAATGGTATAAACAAACATGATGTGTAGTTACCCTGAAGGACGTTTAATATGGCGGGTACCACTGGACACATGGTATAAACAAACATGATGTGTAGTTACCCTGAAGGACATTTAATATGGCGGGTAATGCTGAACAAATGGTATAAACAAACATGATGTGTGGTTACCCTGAAGGACATTTAATATGGTGGGTACTGCTGAACAAATGGTATAAACAAACATGATGTGTGGTTACCCTGAAGGACATTTAATATGGCGGGTACCGCTGAACAAATGGTATAAACAAACATGATGTGTAGTTACCCTGAAGGACATTTAATATGGCGGGTACTGCTAAAACAAATTGTATAAACAAACATGATGTGTGGTTACTTTGAAGGACATTTAATATGGCGGGTACCGCTGAACAAATGGTATAAACAAACATGATGTGTAGTTACCCCGAACAGAAGGACATTTAATATGGCGGGTACCGCTGCACAAATGGTATAAACAAACATGATGTGTAGTTACCCTGAAGGACATTTAATATGGCGGGTACCACTGCACAAATGGTATAAACAAGTATGATGTGTAGTTACCCTGAAGGACATTTAATATGGCGGGTAATGCTGAACAAATGGTATAAACAAACATGATGTGTGGTTACCCTGAAGGACATTTAATATGGCGGGTAATGCTGAACAAATGGTATAAACAAACATGATGTGTAGTTACCCTGAAGGACATTTAATATGGCGGGTACCGCTGAACAAATGGTATAAACAAACATGATGTGTAGTTACCCTGAAGGACATTTAATATGGCGGATAATGCTGAACAAATGGTATAAACAAACATGATGTGTAGTTACCCTGAAGGACATTTAATATGGCGGGTACTGCTGAACAAATGGTATAAACAAACATGATGTGTAGTTACCCTGAGAGACATTTAATATGACGGCTACCGCTGAACAAATGGTATAAACAAACATGATGTGTAGTTACCCTGAAGGACATTTAATATGGCGGGTACCACTGGACACATGGTATAAACAAACATGATGTGTAGTTACCCTGAAGGACATTTAATATGGCGGGTACCACTGGACACATGGTATAAACAAACATGATGTGTAGTTACCCTGAGAGACATTTAATATGACGGCTACCGCTGAACAAATGGTATAAACAAACATGATGTGTAGTTGTAACATCATTAAATATGGCGGCTATACCGCTGAACAAATGGTATAAACAAACATGATGTATAGCATTATATCTGCTGGCGAAAGCGTAAAATACTAAACGCATATTATTCTTTCTTTAGTGAAATATGTCTTTTGAAAGTTTTATTTAAGATTATGTCAGATGACACACCACATAAATTGTAAGGATTTCCGATGTTTAGGTGCATGTATTTAACACATCATTAGAGAATTCTGTGAAAAATAATAATTGGTTTGGTCTGTTAACAATTTAAGCAGGAACATTTTGATAATTGACTTCCAAGTTGATTTCTTGCAATCACAAAACATAGTTTTCGCATTATTGATACTCAACTGAGTTTAACTCATTATCTAAGAATGCAGTTTATTTGCATGGTTACCCCATTTGTAAAAATCAAAAGTGGTTAACAAGTTTATTATAAAGAGGATAACAAAGATCTTGACATGACAAAATAAATGTAAAACAAATCAAAAAGAGAAAAAAACTACGGCCTGACTAATGTTTAAACCAACAAACGAAAACCAAATACAATATACAGCAACAAACGAAAACTAAATATGATATACAGCAACAAACGAAAACCAAATATGATATACAGCAACAAACGAAAACCAAATATGATATACAGCAACAAACGACAACCACTCAATCACAGGCTTATGATTTGTTTTCTTAAAACGTTCATGGAGATTTTTATTATTAACAGTCTGCGATGACAAAACAATTGTTTCAATTCCCTTGGGGTGATCTATCAGCTCTTCTTATTGAGTGCTTGAAATGAGAAATGAACAGATATTTGATCCATCAACACCAGCTGAGTAAAGACTTCGTTAAAACATCCGTAGAAAAATATACAATATCCGTTTATTGATTTCTGCCTACAAACAATTAGTAATACACGCAAAGTATTTCTGATAATGAGACGAGGTCATGCAGAAAATAGTCTGGGGGATTATTTTAAAATAGTATTTAAATCGATACAATGACATAACATGTCTGTGATGTATCAATCTGTATGTCTTATAGAACTTCGTCAATGAGATAACCACTTCCTACAGTTTCAGGGGCTGGCTTTTTTTGTCTTCAACACAAAGGATACAAATAAATTTTTGCTCCCGAAAATTTAAGAAAAAGAAGTATTTACCGTAAAACAAAGAATTGATATTTATAAAAACACATAATTTGTGCATCCTTCATTTTCCTTAGCTGTATTTCCCAGGGACAAGTTATATTTTAAAACAAACAGCACTGTTTATTAAGGCACATAGATTCAGCATTTGATTCTGAAAATCAGAGACTCTAAAATATATTAGATTTTCCCAGCAAAGTTTGCCCAGGATGTATGGTTCGTGTAGTATGACGGCATATGCTCAGTTTTTCCTCCCTGTATCATTCGATGCTAATATTACAGACATTATGAAGATAAAATCATGTCAGTTTTAAGGTCAGATAAAGTAATAAACCTGAGTCGAAAGCTCGATGTGAATATCTTGGGGGATTACATATTGGTTTAAAATATGAAAGAGTCTATGTAACTGATTTGGGGATGTAAATCCACAAGGTTCTACCACATTAGCCAGTGCTTCTTTATTGGCATGACCCAATGATATATGTTGAATAACGTTTTGGTTAATAAATAATGTCTATACTGAAACCAAGATGGCTATTCACTTAATACAAGTTGACTATAGAACGATTGTTCTCTTTAGGCCCTTTTGCTGCTTACAAGCGTTCTGTGAATTTTAATTTCAAGCGTTTCTTTTGAATATTGACTGTTATTCCAGAAACCAGATTGGAGATCAAGAACATTTGTGTTATACCTTTTTTACCAAAATTTTCAGTACTGCTGAAGACTATAAGTCACCAAGTCTCAAAAGTACAGTCTTGAAGGAGTCAGTGTTTTTTGTATTTCTATGACCAAATGATACATTTTGATTAACTTCCAGTTAATGAATTATTTACTTATACTAGCACTTAAGTTTTTAGTTTAGATATATTTTATTTGCAAAACAAATTGGATGAGACACAAGTCAAACAGACTTATGAAGTCTTCTCCATTTAACATATTTAACAATACAATGTATAAGAGCATGCATACATTACATATTATTTCAACATTTGTATAAATTGGACAGAAAAATTAAGTGACACAAAAGAAGTAGAGAGAAAAATAAAAGTAAAAGAACACAAAAGAACAACAAGAAAATAATTTAATAAAAAAAATTGAATGGCACTTTGCTTTGGAAGGACATCATTTAAGATTATTCTAGTAATTAATATGTATATATTGATTTAAATGATCTCTTGATGATCTATTATTCATTATGAAAACGAAATGACTTAATAGATTTAACTACCCTGGAATACATAGCTGTGGAAAGATCATTTTAAAATGATTGTTAAACACATTTTTTCATAGGCACGCTGAACAATTATGGAGGAAATTCAACTTACTGTATGTATATTGGAGAATTTAACACGTTTTGCAAATTTGAGCATTCGATACTTGTAATGTCATCCGTTGCCCAAGCGTCCTTTGCATAGATTGGGCACGTGCTGTTCTGTCCTACATAAAAACATTGCATGATATGTATGTTTTATATACATGTATATTACCGTTAAATTCATTAATGAAATAGGAGCAGAGCATTCATTGTAGATTTTAATCAAATCTTACACTGTGTCCTCTTCTGTTTAATCGCTCACTGGAATTAAAACTTACAAGAGCTAATCTATGCCCGCATGTGTATTATTTGTCATAAACTTTAATATTTCAATTCAAGTATATAATTTATTTAAAGTAGAAGTTGTCTTTTCAATTCTCACTGGAAGTTAAGTTTACAAGAACTTATCTATGCCCGCATGTGTATAAACTGTCATAAACTTTAATATTTCAATTCAAGCATATAATTTATTTAAAGTAGAGGTTGTCTTTTCAATTCTCACTGGAAGTTAAGTTTACAAGAACCAATCTATGCCCGCATGTGTATTATTTCTCTTAAATTTTGTTTTATTAAATTCAAGCATATATTTTTCGAAAATAGAGGTTTATTCTTTGCCATGAAAAAATCCTAAATATGCAATGTAATTGTCCAAATGAAACCATTGAACGTCCAGTTCAACTTAATTGTTCGGTGATAAACCTAAAAGATAAGTCTAAAAACGATATCATAGCCAATCAAACTGCATAGATTATAGAAAACTTTCTGTGTAGCATATGTATGGTAGTACATTAATATTTTAGAAGTATGTACGCTGAATTTCACTGGGCAATACGAACCATGTTGGAGAAGGAAGAGTACAAGCCTTTCTTGTATTTGTAAAGGAAACATAAATAAAAGTGTAGTCTCGAGTTATCGGTTTTTGTAAGGGAAACATAAAAGTGTGGGCTAGACTTGTAGGTCTTTGTAAAGGAAACATAAAAGTGTAGGCTAGACTTGTAGGTCTTTGTAAAGGAAACCTAAAAGTGTAGGCTATATAAATAAGAAGATGTGGTATGAGTGCCAATGAGACAACTCTCCATCCAATTCACAATGTATAAAAAGTTAACAATTATAGGTCAAAGTACGGCCTTCAACATGGAGCCTTGGCCCACACCGAACAGCAAGCTATAAAGGGCCCCAAAATGACTAGTGTAAAACAATTCAAACAGGAAAACCAATGGCCTAATCTATATAAAAAAACAAGAAACGAGAAAAACTTATGAACCACACCAACAAACGACAACCACTGAACAACAGGTTCCTGACTTAGGACTGGTGCATACAAATGCAGCGGGTTTAAACGTTTTTACAGGCGCCAACCTTCACCCTAACCTGAGACAGTAGTGTAACATTACAACATAAAAAGACACACTATAGACTTATCTGTTTTTGTAAAGGAAACCTAAAAGTGTAGGCTAGACTTTTCGTTTTTTTTTTGTAAAGGAACATAAAAATGTAGGATCGACTTGTCGATTTTTGTAAAGGAAACATAAAAGTGTAGGCTCGACTTGTCGTTTCTTTTGTAAAGGAACATAAAAATGTAGGATTGCCTTGTCGGTCTTTTGTAAAAGAAACATAAAAGTGTAGGCTCGATTTCCCAGTTTTTTTTGTAAAGGAACATAACAATGTAGGATCGACTTATCGGTTTTTTTTGTAAAGGAAAGTTAAAAGTGTAGGCTCGACTTGTCGTTTTTATGTAAAGGAGCATAAAAATGTAGGATCGACTTGTCGGTATTTTGTAAAGGAAACATAAAAATGTAGGATCGACTTGTCGATTTTTGTAATCTACCCCCTCCCCCGTCAAGCTGTTCTTCACAACTTACATACAGGGTACATTCGTCTTGAATGTTTATTGCATATTTATCACTGGATTTTGAACACCTCTTAATAATAGATATCAAAGCATGCAATTGCCATTTAATCATAGATATCGAAGCATGCAACAACAGCTTAATCATAGATATCGAAGTATACAATAACATCTTAATCATAGATATCGAAGCATGCAACAACAGCTTAATCATAGATATCGAAGTATACAATAACATCTTAATCATAAATATCGAAGCATGCAATAACAGCTTAATCATAGTCTAGATATCAGCACATGCAATCGCAATTCAATCTCTGATATCATCACATGCAGTTACTACTGAATCTTAGATATCGACATGTACAATTGCTGCTTAATCTTAGATATCAACACATGCAATCGTTACTCAATCTTAGATATCATCACAAGAAATCGCTACTCAATCTTAGTTATCAACACATGCAGTTACTATCGAATCTAAGATATCTCGCAAACAATCGCTATTCAAAAGTAAATATCAACACATGACATCGCCGTTAATCTTAAAAATCAACAAATGTAGTCACTACTCGATCACATATATTAACACATGAAATTACCACTCAATCTCAGATATCAACACTAAATTACCACTCAATATCAGACATCAGTAAATGTTATCATAATGCATTATACAAAGTAAAGCAGTGACATAGATAACTTATACGTTTATAATATCCATATATTGTTATAGACACAGTCCACGTTCTCGGAAACCAGTAGTATTGGAGATACAAAGCAATTAGTTACAGATGAAAAACAGGACCAAGAACAAAGTAGTATTCCTATGACAAGCATCAACATGATCAATTCCATTGTTGGATCAGGTGTCATAGGTATGTAATGTACCCACAGTAATGACAAGCATCAACATGATCAATTCCATTGTTGAATCAGGTGTCATAGGTATGTAATGTACACACAGCAATGACAAGCATCAACATGATCAATTCCATTGTTGGATCAGGTGTCATAGGTATGTAATGTACACACAGCAATGACAAGCATCAACATGATCAATTCCATTGTTGGATCAGGTGTCATAGGTATGTAATGTACAAACATCAATGACAAGCATCAACATGGTCAGTTCCATTGGTGGATCAGGTGTCATAGGTATGTAATATACAAACAGCAATGACAAGCATCAACATGGTCAGTTCCATTGGTGGATCAGGTGTCATAGGTATGTAATGTACAGACAGAAATGACAAGCATCAACATGGTCAGTTCCATTAGTGGATCAGGTGTCATAGGTATGTAATGTACAGACAGCAATGACAAGCATTAACAGTGTCAGTTCCATTAGTGGATCAGGTGTCATAGGTATGTAATGTACAGACAGCAATGACAACCATCAAGATGATCAATTCCATTGTTTGATCAGGTGTCATAGGTATATAATGTACAGACAGTAATTGAAACCGATGCTTGATGCTTGTCATTGCTGTCTGTACATCATAGATATCGAAGCATGCAATGACAGCTTGATCATAGATATCAGCACCTGCAATCGCAATTTTGGCTTTTATCTTTGTGGAGTTGTAGACCTATAAGTAGCGAAAAGTCATACTTAGAGTGTTGTCCGTGCAATAACTTGAAAATGCTTTGACGATATCTTTTTAAATTAAGATTTGTTGTTTTCTGTGACTAAACGAAGGTCAAGTTCGAATTTCACGATTTTAGCTTTTATTGTTGAAAAGTTGTAGAACTTTTAGTAGCGTAAGGTGATAGAGCGTTGTCCGTGCGATAACTTGAAAAGGCTTAGATGAAAGTCTTATCATACTTTGAAGAAACAAGACAACAACCGTTTGAGAGTGGGTTTCTGGATAGTTATTGGAGTGACCACACTATTCTATGGTTTCATACTAAATAAGGTTACAATCTCATAAACATATTTCTTTCATTATTGACTTCATGATTGCTGCCTATCCACCCCTGCTGAACAAATGTGTGTGTACTTATATACTCTCTTAAATTCCAATATTATGCCACCTATGATAAATGGATCAAAATTGATTTGACCAAATATCATTTTCATGCAGGACAACCCGATTTGATGTGAATCTGATAGCCTCTTGTTTACATTTATTGTAAGTTTGTTGTCGTTTTTCATATGCATAGGCATAGACTATTTGATATTGGACTTTAGGCAAACAGCAATTAATCCATCTTTATTTTCATTTATCAGTAAGATAACCTAGTTTTGATAGAATAGAATTTTTGCTTTAAATTTATTATAAACTTGCGAGGCTTTAAAGTAGCTAATGGCACGCCTCCTCTCTAAAGGAAACTAGTTTGTAACTCCAAGTTGCAAATAACAAACATTTGTCATTTAATCATTAAAAACCATGCACAACAAATAACAGAAACTAGCCGTTGAATTATTAAACATCATGCACAACGAATAACAGGCATTTGCCATTGAATCATTTAACACAATACACAGCGAATAACATACATTTTGCTTGAATCATTACATAAAACACACAGGGAATAACACACATTTGATATTATACCATTAAACGGTTGTCATTGAAACATTAAACACAGGACACAGCAAAAGAACAGACATTTTTCATAGAATCATCAAACACCAAATACGTCGAATAACTGTGTCATTCACATTGAATCATTAAACACAAAACACAACAAATAACAAACATATTTGTTGAATCATTACACAGAATACACACCCGATTACAGACATTTGTCATGCACAGCGAATAATCTACATTTGTCATTGAATCATTAAACACCAAGCACAGTGAATCACTGACGTTTGTCATTGAATCATTAAACACAAAACACCACAAATAACAAACATTTTTATTGAATCATTACACAGATATACACAGCGAATAACAGACGTTTGTCATTAGACCATTAAACAACATTCACGGCAAATTACAAAATTTGTCATTGAATCATTAAACATCAGACACTACGTACAATAGACATTTGTAATTAAATAATCATACAACGAATAACATACCTATGTAATTAAAAGATTTAATACTAGGCACAACGAGATATGCATTGAATCATTAAACACAATGCACAGCAAGTAACATATATTTGCAATTGAATCTTTTAACACCATGTACAGCGAATAATTGACATCTATTTTTGAAACTTTAAACATCATGAACATGTCATTGAATCATTATACACTGAGCATCATGAACAGCGAATAACTTACATTTGTCATTGAATCATTAAACACTGAAATGTTATACAAATCACTTGTTGTTTATAAGAATAGAAGGTAATAAAGAAATAAAGAAAATTAAAGTAAGTGCACTCTAAACGTCATCTCAAAGACCTGCATAAATACAAAAATGATGACTCAGCATGATTTTTGTCGTTATTCATAATTTGAATTAATAAATAACTTGGTATTTCGTGACAATCACTTGATGATGTCATCGATCGTTACCTTCAAAGTATAAGTTGTTAATTAAGATCGGTGGGATATTTCTGGATTTGTCTCACACATACAATCAATAAGGAGTTCCCTGTAATTCTTAATATGTATTATAACTACAAAGAAAACCCGACTATGACTTCAAAATACATATAGTCGTTTTAGATTTTATATCATCGCGTTTCATGTATTTTATTTGCTTTTTACATCATATGCAATTTATTGAGTCAGTAAGTTGCTTTATAAATCTACTTTACCGTTTCCGTATTTCATGTAGCGTAAGATTCCGGAAATCGAATGGGTCTGACTTCCTAGATAAAGATGAGATACAGCTGGATTTTCCAGAGCATTACTATCAATCAAAGTCTTAAATAAAAGCCTTTTATTTTATCTTATGCGGTTCTACAATAAATCTTGACACAAATTGATAAAAAATAAATATGTAATTATACTCTTACCATAAAAAAGGTTAGGAGTCTTAGCAATCGAACTCCAGCTTAAATATTGTTAATAGAATTAATTATGAATACAGTAGATACTGTTAGTAATTTATAAAATTGTACCAAATTATATATATAGTTCTGAAGCTAAAATACATGTTACTTAAATATTTTTCATTTACTAAAAAGTTCGACATATTTAAAGGGACAGGTACAAATAAGTTAAGAAGGAATTTCTGGTATTAATTCTGCGAAGTAAAAGATTAATTTCTTTTTCCTAAGTTTTACGAGATTTTTCAAAGTGCAGCATCATTAAGCTATATTGGAAAAAGCATTTAACAGTAATAAGCATGAATATATTTCTTTTAAAAAAGTTTTGTTTTTCGTTCACAATAGTAATCAGATGATGAAAAATTTGAGGATTCAGTAAATAAATAAATTATCTTAAATTACCACACTAAAGTAGAAATATTGTGAGAGTCTAAAAAGACAAAAATCTAAAAAGACTAGTTTTTTCAAAAAATATGGTCTTACTATTATAGATTGTTTACATTTACAGATAAATAACATCACAATGACAGAAAAAAGGTACAATACTTCAGAGTCAAACTGTATTTCCATACAACTACTGGCTTTTGATTAATTCGAACACTATTGCATAAAATACTAAGTATCATTACCTCCTTGGTGAAATCAATGACATTAAAGTTTAGATGACGTCATTTATTTGAGTCAGCTGTAGTTTACCGAGGTTCAATCCACTCAAATACACATGAAGATAGAATACAAATAAAAAACTGGGAGAATTATATGACATTCTATGTATATTACAACTGGTTGGATCTTTTTAACTAGTTCAACAGGAGTATTTAGATAATTGACTTTAAATATGATAGCCAATGATCTTGCCAATACGAGACACTGCATTTATTTTACTCATCTGAGTTGAAATCTTTGTTTCGGAGCGTAGTTAATTGCATGGCCACCAAGAATAACACTACCTTATAAATATGTTTATATTGTTTTCTCTTCTGACTAACCTCTTGATATATACATCAAAAACAGACTGTACATGTATTTCTCGCTCAGTAGTTTTTTTTTTTTTTTTTTATCTCAAACAGTCGATGAAAATAAAACTTATTTAAAAACAATTATTTTAATTCCCTCGATGTGGTCTTTTGATGTGCATAAAATGATAAAAGATCAGAAATTTGATCAACCAACAGCAGTTACAAATAGATAAAATATTAGGTTTACGCCTTCGTTAAAACAGCCGGAGAAAAATATACAATATCCGTTTATTGATTTTTGCCTACATGCAATTAGTAATACAAGTAAAGTATTTCTGATAATGGGACGAGTTCACGCAGAAAAGATTTGGTGGATTGTTTTAAATCATTATACATATTGATACAATGACATAATATGTCTATGATAGACCAAACTGTTCATCTAAAAAGAGCAATATAATTTTCATCAACAAAATGATTAAATAGACCACATTCAACACATTCTTGACTATGAGACAAATTTTATCTCCAAAGGCTGCGAATAAAATTTATTGCCTCGAACGTTTTAGAAAAAAATGTCAATACCGTAAAATTTGGGTTCAATTTAGACGACACAGAAGTTGTGCTCCTAGAATAAATCTATATGATATTACTTAAGCTTTCATTGACGACTTATTTTTTTCAAAATAATTTCTTTAAAATTTCTTTGTTCATTTTCATGTTCAGTTTATTTTTAGTAGTCGATCTTCGATTGGCAGTGTAAATACATATTGTTTTGGTGCCAAAGTTGTTTGGTCAAGATTGCCGGATTCAACACATCAAGTTGATCTCTCATATGAATTTTCGTTGACAAATGTTTTTTAAATGAAAATAGTAATTAGATTTGAATAACTTATGAAGATGTCTATAATTTTGAAATATATATATGTGTGGTTCTTGTTATAGGTGGCGTACGTTCAGTTTTACATTCATGTATCATTCTGTGATCAATATATTTCATGCACAGTGACGATAAAATCATGTGATACTTACTGTTAGAAATAGGTATGGCTCCGTGTTGAAGGCCGTACTCTGACCTATAATTGTTTATTTTTTACACATTGTGACTTGGATGGAGAGATGTCTCATTGGCAATCATACCACATCTTCCTATTTCTATGGAAATCACCTGGACCCACAACTGAGAAGTTTCAAAAACAGGTCCGCAATAAATCAAAACATTAATGAATAATAAGAATATGGTCCGCAATAAATCAAAACATTAATGAATAATAAGAATATGGTCCGCAATAAATCAAAACATTAATGAATAATAAGAATATGCAAGGAGTCAGTTCAATAAAGCTTTAATATTCGATATTGAAAAAAGGTCCGCAATAAATCAAAACATTAATGAATAATAAGAATATGCAAGGAGTCAGTTCAATAAAGCTTTAATATTCGATATTGAAAAAAGGTCCGCAATAAATCAAAACATTAATGAATAATAAGAATATGCAAGGAGTCAGTTCAATAAAGCTTTAATATTCGATATTGAAAAAAGGTCCGCAATAAATCAAAACATTAATGAATAATAAGAATATGCAAGGAGTCAGTTCAATAAAGCTTTAATATTCGATATTGAAAAAAGGTCCGCAATAAATCAAAACATTAATGAATAATAAGAATATGCAAGGAGTCAGTTCAATAAAGCTTTAATATTCGATATTGAAAAAAGGTCCGCAATAAATCAAAACATTAATGAATAATAAGAATATGCAAGGAGTCAGTTCAATAAAGCTTTAATATTCGATATTGAAAAAAGGTCCGCAATAAATCAAAACATTAATGAATAATAAGAATATGCAAGGAGTCAGTTCAATAAAGCTTTAATATTCGATATTGAAAAAAGGTCCGCAATAAATCAAAACATTAATGAATAATAAGAATATGCAAGGAGTCAGTTCAATAAAGCTTTAATATTCGATATTGAAAAAAGGTCCGCAATAAATCAAAACATTAATGAATAATAAGAATATGCAAGGAGTCAGTTCAATAAAGCTTTAATATTCGATATTGAAAATATACTTGTACACCGACTCTATGACACGTGGAATTATATACTTGTACACCGACTCTTTGACACGTGGAATTATAACTACTACTGATCACAATACTATTATCATTCAAATTGTCCGCTTTACCTTGTGCTTTATTGATTGTACACACAGAGATCTATATTATTATTAAGTGTCCTAAGAGGATATTGTGATTCAGACTTCATCAATGTATTAATAACAACATATGGATTGAATTCTCAAATGTTAATTTAAAATACACACTTTTTATTCGTTTATCAGTTCTATTCAAGAACTATATATAATTACACAAAACATTATGTCATCTGTTTATATTTTTGTAAAAAAAAAGAATGTAATTGGTTGTCTTCGAATATTATTTAAGATAAATATTTTCAATTAAAAGCAAGAAATATTAATTCAACTCAATCCCTAGATGCCGATAGAAACATTAATTACTAGAGATATCGGAGAACAAGTGACATAAATGGATAACTACTGTCACATTCTGACTAATTTCAGACACTGTCAAATAAAGTAGTTTCCATTAGTATTTTCAATAAAATATAGTATCTAGTTCCATTGATTGTGTGAATATTGGATTGTGTCAGCCTTGAATTGATGGATTCACAGTCGGATATGCACTGTTCTGTACACAAATGGCATTAAATTTAATAAAAGAAAAAGTAGATTATACGTTACTGAGAAAGCAATCCCAAAACACACAAAAAAGGTTATCTAAGATTTAAGATGATTATTGATGACAGGAAAGCCAAATAAACGATAGTCCGTATAATTTAATACCTGGTTTTTAAACCTATATTGTTGACAGTTGATGAGATTCCTGGCTTTGGCCAGACAAATGAACATGCAATGGAGTATAATTATGGGTTTTCTTCACTTTTATATTACTTAAACACTGAATTGTATATTTAAGAAACTGATTTAAATCAAGATAATATATCAACCTTCTATACATATTAAGTTCAGTATTATTGTATCAAGAATCCCATAATACTATTTAAATATGGAAAAAAAACTGACAAACTATAATACTCAGGTAGATAGATTGCACATCTAAATGATTTCCTTTTATATATTTTGCAGGAATACCATATGCACTGAAGCAGTCCGGTTTTTTGTTTGGAACATTTTTGCTGATTTTAGTTGCTGTTATCACAGGTAAGATGAACAGTGTGTGGCGGGGATAAACATGTATGTGTACAGTGGTATGCTTATTATGGCGGTGTTAAACATGTTACAGTGGTATGTTTAGTATTTATAAATAAGAAGATGTGGTATGAGAGCCAATGAGACAACTCTCCATCCAAGTCACAATGTATAAAAAGTTTTTCAACACGAAGCCTAGGCTCACACCGAACAGCAAGTTAAAAGGGGCCCCAAAATGACGTGTAAAACAATTCAAATAGGAAAACCAACGGTCTAATCTACAAAAAAAAAAGAGAAACGAGAAACACCTATGAACCACACCAACAAACGACAACCACTGAACAACAGGCTCCTGACTTAGGAGAGGTGCTAAAAATGCAGCGGGTTTAAACGTTTTAACAGGCGCCAACCTTCACCCTAACCTGAGACAGTAGTGTAACATTACAACAAAAGTAAAAAGTAAAAGAAAACAGTTCTACCCTAAAACAGATTCAAATTACTCTACCTTAGAACAGATTCTGATAGTAGTACCAGTTCTAAGATTTTAGAATAAATTTTCTGAAGAGAGGTTAGAACTGATCAAAACTATATGTTTATACATTCAAGATCATCTTTGTTTTTAGTCGAAATGGTTGTATCCGACTAAACTGATGTCAAGAACAATAAAACCTGTTATAATCTGATAATATATGACTTTATGGGTAGGAAGATCTATAGATCACACATTAATATTGACGTTTCTTTTTATATTCTGCTGTAAATGACCTTGAATAAGGTTGTTAGCCATAAAACGTATGGTTCATTGTGAGACAAAACCCATTGGTCTTATCGATTAGCTGACTAACTGTTTCTTGTCATGATATCTTGTGGTTCTGTACATCGGATTCTGTCTTAATCCTTTAGTGCAACTTAATTCTTCTTTATTGTTGTATAACAATTAGAAATGTAAATAGAACAAGAATTAAAGAAATGACAATAATTTAGCCTATCAAAAAAAGTATCAATAAATATGTTCTGTTGGAATTTTCTATCAAAAGAATGTATGCCTGTTGGAATGTTCTTTCAAAGGAATGTATGCCTGTTGGAATGTTCTATCAACAAAATATGACACTTAACAAATTTACTAAACATATTTAATCATAAAAATAATGAGCATATGATTATGAATGATATAACTATCCACCAGAGACTAAAGGATCTGGATGTAAGCAAATATAGGCCAACGTACAGCCTTCAACAAGGATAGAAACCTATACCATATAGAAACCTATACCATATAGAAACCTATAACATATAGAAACCTATACCATATAGAAAGCTATAAAAGGCCCCTACATAAAAATGTGAAAGAATTCAAACGAGAAAACCCAACTTCATGATTTATGATGGCCATTGTACATCGTTATTGAACTTTTAATTGAAATTTTGAAATTTAAGTAAGTTTCCAGAAAGAGTTACACCCAAAATTCTTTATGGAAGGTACCTAGCAATCTTATATTGTCCTATGATTAAACATGAAATAATTGGCCAAAGGTTGCGATTCAAATTTTGATAAATTTTCCGAATGTGTGTTAGATCAATTTTTTAGTAAAGCACCTAGTAACCATACATTTTCGGGCCAGTTATTATCTGTGACATGGAGAAATTGAATTTCAAAAGGATGTGATTCAGATTTTGGTATATTTGCTATAGTCTTTCAGAACAAAGATGATTTGGTAAAGACCAAAACAAAAACACATGTCGAAAAACGTGATAATCGTCATAAAATAAAGAAAAACACCTAACAACCAAACTCTGACATGGTGCCATTGTAATGTTATATATACTATTTGCGCAGTGAAATTATATTGACCGTATAATCATTTGTGATATATCGCCTTGTTTATGACGTTAACAATCCGTTTCCGTAGAGTTTAATTTATGACGTCATTAAAAGGTACAGGTTCGCGGAATTTTTACGTTGTTCGCTCCAAATTAAAAAAAAATATGGTTTTTACCCTTAATATTTCATTTGGAACAGTTGTAAGAGTTGCAGTATACAAATAATAACCATACATTGTCTCGAAATATAAATCTTATTTGCACTCGGCTCAAAACAGGATAGAAATGCTCGGCAAAGCCTCGCTTTCTACCTGTTTCTAAACCTTGTTCAAATAAAATATATATTTCGAGACAATGTATGGTTATTCTATATGAATTAAGCTTTGACATGGTGCCATTGTAACGTTATGAACCAAACTCTGTCATGGAACCATTGTAACGTTATGAACCAAACTGTGACATGGTGCCATTGTAACGTTATGAACCAAACTTTGACATGGTGCCACTGTAATGTTTTGAATCAAACTTTGACATGGTGCCTTTGTAACGCTATGAATCAAACTTTGACATGGTGCCATTGTATCGTTATGACCCAAACTCTGACATGGTGCCATTGTAACATTATGAACCAAACTCTGACATGGTGCCATTGTAATGTTTTGAATCAAACTTTGACATGGTGCCATTGTAACGTTATGAATCAAACTTGGACATGGTGCCATTGTATCGTTTTGAATCAAACTTTGACATGGTGCCATTGTAACATTATGAACCAAACTCTGACATGGTGCCATTGTAACGTTATGAACCAAACTCTAACATGGTGCCATTGTAACGCAAACTGTGACATGGTGCCATTGTAACGTTATGAACCAAACTGTGACATGTTGCCATTGTAACGTTATGAACCAAACTGTAACATGGTGCCATTGTAACGTTATGAACCAAACTGTGACATGGTGCCATTGTAACGTTATGAACCAAACTGTGACATGGTGCCATTGTAACGCTATGAACCAAACTGTGACATAGTGCCATTGTATCGTTATGAACCAAACTCTGACATGGTGCGATTGTAACGTTATGAACCAAACTGTGACATGGTGCCATTGTAACGTTATGAACCAAACTGTGACATGGTGCCATTGTAACGTTATGAACCAAACTCTGACATGGTGCCATTGTAACGTTATGAAGCAAACTTTGACCAAGGCATCACACAACAGTTAATTGGTAATGGAACTTTTTTCAGAATGAATGATGGTTTATATACGTGATATTTCACATACAATGTTTGTTTGCTTTTTACAGATTACTCTATTCTATTGTTAGTGCAAGGTGGAAAATTGTCTAACACAGATACCTACCAAGTAAGTATACTCATATAGGGAAATATTTCAGCAACAGTCTAGAGGACTTCTATGTTGTTGTGCTTCGTGTTGATCAGTTGAGTCAACAAGCCTTTTCCAATTAATTTTTTAACAGTTTGTTTGATTTTGTGCTGTTACATCACTGATATAGGTAACTACAGTTAGTCGGAGGATTGAGTGCTCACCAATATTGCTTACGCCGCCACATTCGTTATGTCACTGACACAAGTAAGGAGTCTGTAATTCAATGGCTGTCTTTGGCTGCTGTCTGCCATATTTGGTTTTAGTTTTTTCATTTATTATTTTGATTAGGCCGTTGTTGTTTTTTCTTTTTGATTGTCTCACATTTTGTCATACCGGGGACTTTTAGAGCTTACTATACAGTACATATTTTGTTCATTATTGAAGGCCGTATAGTGATCTTTAGTTGTTTACATCCTCGTCCTTTGTTTTATCTTAATCGATTTATGACTTTTGAACAGCGGTATAATACTGTTGCCTTTATTTGATCAATGCTGGATATTTGTGTCATTGTCAATCATACCACATCTGCTTATCTTTTTTATGTCTAAAAGACTAAAACTAAATCCCGTATGTTTTGACACAGAACACGATACAACGGCTCTTTGTTTCACACGTTCTTCACCACTTCATGTATTTATCACTACGTACACGCTCAGGTATTTTGTTAAATCACTTTTGAAAAAAAATAATTGTCATCTAATGGATACTACACTACATGCTAGGTAATTCTTGATCCTTACAAGTGTTTTGAAAATGGCAAACAAAAAGGATCAAAGAACAAAACAAATATTACGGATCAAACCAAAAGGAAGGAGACCTAATGTAAAGCAGTTTAAAAGACAAAAGTAATGGTTGCGTGTAATTATGCGATAAAATGTTTCATCGTTTTTTCTCTAATGACTTTAATACCAATGCTCCATTATGCCTTTTCTATTTTCAAAGACTGGTGGTGAATACTGGAAAGTGCACATCCAGTTAACTTCTTTTTCAGCAGATAGCAAATTTGTATTGATTGTTTCATTTTATTCCTTTAATTATCGTAAAACAAATCTCAACTGACGAATTTTTTCTCTACAATACCACATAATGACATTTAACTGTAATTGATTGAATGCATTAATCAGTATCTTTGTATGAAGTACGTTGTGCTCTGATATGCGTTTGTACTTCAGAGAAATCACAGTGCAAACAAAATCGTAAAACGACACGGATATGAACTTGATGTCAACAATTTTATATTGACCCTTATGGAAGATCTATTTCACAGAGGACGACAGATATGTTTCAAACCGCAAAAACTACAAAACTTGCCTTAACCACAAACAAGACCGGTTTTTGGCGGGGTTCGTGTTGCTCAGTCTATAGTTTGCTGCGGTGTGTTTGTTGTACTGTGGTTTGTCTTTTGGTCGGATTTTTTCATGGCGTGATCAGTTTTGTTCTGAAAAGACGAACAAATCAGGAACCTCATCAATAGCTATATGTCATATCTTTTTATTTTTCTACCTGGAAAATTTTGGGTGTAACTTGCCGATCTTTTATCCTCCAGAGGACCTGTGCTGCTCAGTCTTTAGTTTTCAATGCAGCGTTTGTGGATTTCTTCGTCTTTTTCATATAAATCTTATGTATTGCAGGAACTATTTCCTAAACAGGTTATGTATTAAATCGAGAATGAAAATTAGACAGATTGTAAACTGTTTATTTGCATATTAATCTTACTATTTAAAAAAAATAAAACATGTTTTAATCCTATTTGGAAATCAAAATAAACTTAATAATTACAGGGCATATAGGAAAACTTAATAATTACAGGGCACATACAGGGAAACAACTGAATACTAAAAGACAAACGTCAGTGTATCAACCGATATACTGGTATTATCCATCCATACTATTCTTATCTCTTAAACATTGCCATTCTGCCTTTGAAAACACATAACATTACATTGTATCATTTTTCATTTCGGACTTATTTGTAGTCTGAGCTGTAAGCATCGTATCCTCTCGGGAAATGAATAGTAGATAATATCAACAGGATTCCAATCAATTCATCTATATCATCAATTTGCTATTCACGTTTTATTCACATTAGTGTCAGTTACTTATCACATAGAGATATATATTACCCCCATACTTCGTCTTACATCCAGTGTCAAGTGATTTAGTTAACATTGGGTTAAGAGACTTCGATCTACAGACATGTCTTACATTAATTTATCCTTCCATTCACATTATCCAGTCAATTAATTAGCATTACTATTACTTTTATATTTGAGGGTTTGACAGAACAAAATGCGTCCTTATCGGTGATCCGATAAGAATTGATAGTATTGATATGTAACTTTCTCAGACATTACGATGAAATAATCTATAATGTTCTTCTTGATATATCGGTGTCTTGTATGATTTAGACATTTTAAAATTCAATAAGTTGAAAATTATACAAAGATCCGTCTAGGATCTGACTGTTTTCATTCCTAAATGGATAAAAAGAATTTGCTCATTGTCAAGTGTTTAAAATTTAGCTAAGACGCGATACAAAGGTATGTTGTTTACGGCGTCGGCGTCAACAATGTATTGATTTGTGATTAGGTCAGTTTATGGGGAATCACTAGTGGTAGATCAATGATATTTGGTATGCAGTTGTATTAGCGTAAGCACATTTAATTTCCATGGAGATTATTTGGCCCCCCTCAGTCATGGTGTATGACTTTGAAACTTTTCTTAGTTTACATGTATTAGTTTGTGATTATGTCAGTTTGTAGGGAACCACTAATGGTAGGTCAATGATATTTGGTATGCAATGGTATTAGCCTTAGCACATATAAATTCTATGGAAATTATTTGGCCCTGCCCCTTCAGTCATGAAGTATGACTTTGAAACTTTTGCTTAGTTTACATGTATTAGTTTGTGATTATGTCAGTTTATGAGGAATCACTAGTGGTAGGTCGATGATATTTGGTTTGCAGTTGTATAAGCATTTACACATCTCATTTCTATGGAGATTATTTTGCCCGCACCCTCAGTCATGGTTTATTGACTTTGGAACTTTTCCTTAGATTACATGTATTAGTTTGTTATTAGGTCAGTTTATTGACTTTGAATATTTTGCATAAATTACATGTTAAAGTATTGCTATTTTAATTTCAACATTTGCATTTTACTAACGAAATAACAAAAAGGCAAGACATAACAGTGTATGTTAAAACATTTGATATGACAATTTTATCAGATTAAATTTTTATACCAGAAGTCGAGTGTATCTCATCGTCAAGCATTTTTCGCGGATTCTCTCATTTCCTTAAATATATAAAAAAAAAAATGCTACCCTAAATGTGTAGTCTATGATCAGGTATGTATTATATATTTGCACAGCGATCTTCTAATTTACCGATTGTATCCTATTCCCCAGGAGATGCTTACCCTGTCGACACACTTGTTCAGTTTCACTTTGGAGTTTATTTTTATCTGTATTTGTATATTCACAATCTATTTACGAGATTTGAACATTGATAAACTACTGTTGCCTCTCATCAACAATATGATATTGTAAATCATTGGAATTTGTTTTATCAATGCTATTCTCTCTTATCAACAATATCATAATGTAAAGCGTTGGAGTTTGTTTATCCGTGCTATACATGTGTATAACATCCTGGATCCTTCTACGCAAAAGCAATTCCGAATAGTAATGATTGAACCAAATGATACTCTTTTAAAGAGATTAAATTCATGTTACTTCAAATAATTTTCTTTAACAGTTGTTACCATTAAACAAACAGCATGACATATTTTAAGGAACCAATGAAAGTAAGATATTATGCAATTTCTGGTATTAATGGTCTGAAGTGAAGGGTTTATACAGTTTCCTAAGTTTTAAGAGATTTTCCAAAAAGCAATAACATTAAGCTATATTGGTAAAAGTATTAAGCAGTATTTAGCTGGAGAATATTAAATTTTAACTGTTTTATTTCCAGGATGTTGTTCTGGTGGCTTTTGGTAGACCTGGATTTTATTTGTTAACTGTCTTACAATTCCTTTATCCTTTTATAGGTAAATATTTGGACATTATGTATAATTCGCTTTTTGTTTCATAAACCATATTTGTATTTTTTTAACCTATTAAACACACCAAGAAACAAAATAAAAAAATGAAAATGAATAGATACTTAAGGGGTTGCAACATCAAGGGACAAAACAGTGACTTAAAGTCTCCGATTAACTTTCAAAGGAGTCATGCAGACACTGTATGTCTACATTCGCGAAATTTACATTTATAATATAACCAATGCTGGCACTGAAGTATTCCCGGTTTGATGATGGTGTGGAATACCATCAGTTCACAGGGAATAGAATCGACCCAATATTGCTCGTAAGCTAATGCCGGTTGAGACTATCAGTGTACCATGAATAAAATCGATACGATATTGCTCTGTTAAATATGCTGTTCATCCATTTTAAGATAAGAATCGACATTGTATTGCCGTGTGAAAGATGCTACAGGGTTTATCAGTACATCGGGAAAACGATTCGACGTAGTATTGCCATGTTTAAAATTTCCAAAAAGAAAATTATATTATTGCATCGGAACATTTTAATCTAAACAGACAGGTTTAAGGATAGTAAATAACGTTAGGCAGCAAAGACATTCAAATTTCTAATAGTGCTAATTTATGTGCTCTTCATTTTGTTCAAAAAGGAAACTGTTTTAAAGTACTATTGGTTAATACGAATGAAGAGGTTCAAATGAAGTTGGTCTATTTGATTCCGATTAGTCATTGCTTGCTACGACAAGGTTGATATATATTTCAACATTTAAAAATATAAAGAGGGAAACACTGTATTCTACTTCAAATTATACGAAGTAACTATCTGTAAAGGGAAACATTCAATTATAATTCTGCCTCCTTGTCCACGTTTGGCTTTATATTTGGTCCTGTATCGGCTGTATAGGCTGTTTAGGGTTTGTACTAAATATTGGATTTTTAACTATTTTGGCCTCGAGCATCTCTAAAGAGACAATGATTGTCGAAATGTGCATTTGGTGCAGTAAATTTGGTACCGCTAGTGTTAATATCAGTTATATATGTCAAATAATTTATTGATAAAATACATTAAATCAAAGGTAGCATTGTTATCTAGAAATTTAAAAGGAAATAGATCCTTATTGTATAATTTAAAGTTTTTAAATTTGGATTAGAGGCAGAGTTACAAAAGAAGTACTAATATAGTACCACATAAAGCTTTTTTTATATATTTAAATTTGGAAGTGATATGGTTTTCTGTTGTGTTTTCAGCTATGATAAGTTACCAGGTTATAATAGGAGATACAATTACTAAATGTTTTTTACGAGTAGGAGGAGGTAAATATGTTTACTTTGTATACCCCAGTAAATCTTGTTTACTTGTATGGAAGAATTATTATATCTGACCGTCTAATCTTTCCCTGAAATAAAATGATAGCCTTATTAGATTATTTTGACAAGCAGAGCATTATTGGATCATTTAAAACGGAATAATGGTAGTATAGATCCGACTGAATTTTCTAAAGGATGAAATGGGTGAATATAGATATAAAGATAAGGAGATATTGCATGATTGCCATTGAAACATTGAGACAACTATCTATCAGAGTCAAAGTAGAAATTACCATCAATCTTCAACGATGAGCAAAACCCAAACCGTATAATCAGCCCTAAAAGTCTCCGAAATGACAAAATTTGAAACAATTCAAACTAGAAAACTAACTGTCTGATATTTGATAAAACAAATGATTATAAATAGAGTGCTATATTATATAGAAAAAGTCTACATTCAAAAAAGGTAATTTTTTTCCGAAAATGAAATGAAATGGTTAAAAATGTAGACTGATTTTCAAACTTGTAACCTAAAGACATCGATCCTCATGAAGATTAATTTGAAAATACACCTGCAATATGTCTCTCGTGAATTCGATAGTACCTAGGATTTCATGTAATCTCGTGAGTTCGATAGTACCAAGGATTTCATGTATCCTCGTGAGTTCGATTGTACCAAGGATTTCATGCATCTCTCGTGAGTTCGATAGTACCAAGGATTTCATGTATCCTAATGAGTTCGATAGTACCGAGGATTTCATGTATCCTCGTGATTTCGATAGTACCATGGATTTCATGTATCTTTTTGTACATAGCTTGATTATCTAAATACTAATAAATCCAGAAAAGCGCTACGGATGCATACAATTGATTCAGTATTATTTTCATTTTGTTATTTTCAAGGAAGTTTTATATACAAAATATGTACATTAACTATTCTTACGATATTTTTAAATCGTATCATATTATGATTTATATCATATTCATTCTAAAATCACCCGTTAAAAGATTAAGAAATTACTAGGAAACTAAAGTTCCAACTCCCTCAGGCAAAAATATCCTTAGAGAAATTTGGCTATTGTATTAAGTTCCCCTTTGGTTAATTAGCTCCTAACGCTGCTGAGTATTTATACATACTTGGCTTTGTAATATAGTGGTTTCAGCGTTTCTGTGAAGGGAAATCCAGAAAGCGCATCGGACGCACAACATTTGTAAAGCGTTAGTTACACTTATAATGAATAATGCTTTATTCCATATTTACAATTTTTGTAATTATATTTACAGATTATCTTGAAGGCACAGTTCTAGTCAATAGGCATTTTTGTATTTTTCTGACTACTTTAGTTGTTACGTTACCATTATCCCTTTATAGAGATGTAGCCAAGCTCAGTAAGGTAAATTAAACAGAACTTTTCAAACATTACTTCCTTCGTAAATATGAAATAAGAAAGGATTTCATATAGCATTAGTGGACTAATGATATAATGCTACCTCCGGAAAATGCATAACATTTTGTTTGGTGAAATGCATGTTAGGAAGAATAATTTTTTTAAGTACAATATTTTTAAAATCATTTAAAACATACCATGTAATTTGTCATATTTACGAATGAAATTACATATTAATGTTTTTATATTATATTTTCAAAATTAATTTATATAAAACAGATGACAAACCAAGACAAAATTAAAAACATATAAAAGCAAAAACAAAAGTTGTAAATTAACTTTGTTTACTCAACATAGTATGTCCTCAACACCAGAATTCATTGTTGTAAAATTATCTAATTAAGTGCTACAATCAAAAGACATCGATTCGTACTTAAACAAAAACAACCAAACACAAAACATAAACATTGTAATAAAATCAGAATAGTACCTGTACACTTCCAAGTATACATACTTCTGACTATGTAACTCACGGTTTTATAATCCAAATGTTACGCTATACTTTCCATTGCTTAAAAACTGCCTTTTTCTATGTGTGTGATATTGGCAGTAAGAAGAAACAGAGTGTAACTTTCGATTTTGATTATTCAGTAACGATTCAGTATAGGGTAAAAATGTATAAAGTAAAATGTAAGTACATTGTTGGTAGTGTAAATTTGTTTGTTTAGTTTACAATCAGACTGTTAGTATAATCCTTGGTAGTGTTTGACTGTTAAAATAAATTCTTGGTAGTGCACAATTGTTTGAGTACATTATTGGTAGTGTATAACTTTTTTTAATTTCAGTGGGCGTTTCTAGCAATGGTTTTAATTGTGTTCATAATTGTGTGTATTTGTATAAGGATTCCAGATTTTAGTGATGTGTAAGTATATTTCTACTCTAAAATCGATTTTTGAAAGTTATTCTGCCATTGTAGTATTCAACATACCTTGTGGTTTGATACACACATTAATGTTTGGACTGCAATGAATTGTACCATACTACCATACATGTTAATGTTTCCCTGTAATATGGAAGGCTTGACATTTACAACTTTTCGACTAGGCAGTATTCCTCTAGAGGACATGACATCACTCGATTTTGTATAATATTATTATCTCAGTATTTTTATATGAATATAGATGTGGCGTATACACCGATGAGACAGCATTCGAAATCACAAAGCACAATAGACATTTAAAGTCATCATACGTCCGTCTCCAGACATGTGTTTAAACAAGATGTAAAATTTTAAATCTCCCAAGTCAAAAAAGGGAGTGAATAAATTTGATAAAACTTCATCTGGTAACAATCCCAAATTTCCAAAAATGCAAGATCATCACAGTAGATAAGACAAATTCCTAACTTGGAGACATGCACAAGAAAATGTTGCGCTATATATCTCATCGACCCCGTTTTTAATAATCTCGACCAGGACACTAGTGGACATAGAAAATGTACTTAGAAAATTACCCAATACCTTCTGTACAGGAAAGGCATTTAACTCTAACGTAACAGTTAAAAAAATAACACAAACAAAGCAATAAGCTGAAGCCCGCCTACGGATGCGAGATTTTCTTGCTACATTGAAGACCCATTGATGGCCTTGTGCTATTTTCTGCTCTTTGGTTGGGTTGTTGTCTCTTTGACATATTCCTCGTTTCCATTCTCTATTCTTGTATTATACCGTATAAAGGAGTGATTACTATTACTTAACTGCAATCTTAAAGTACTAAAACCTATGACATGAAATCATGCTGCCTACATTGTACACCTGCCTAGTCAGTGGTTGTGGGTGTTTGTTGTGTATCTTTTTCTGTTAAGGCCTTTGATGTACTCTGATTCTTTCTTTAAATTAACACTGCAGTGATGATAAGTTTAGGAAGATTAAACTTGTGTCTTCCATCTTCGTGGGTGAAGTTTTATTTTATAATATTTTGAACATTTATAAAGCATCTTTGTTATAAACTAAAACATGAATTTATGAACTTATGTCATTAAAACAGAAGTCAATGTAAAACTTTTTCTCACAAATTGTTTTAATAAATCACAAAACTGTGTCGCGTATGTTATGAAATTGGTCACCTCTGTGCAGTTAAGTTTTATATGTTTAAATCGCTCAGCAAAACTCAGATTTCACTCTTTCAAGTTGATACACTCACTAGACAAAGGTAGAGTATGTATATATATATATATATATATATATACCGTTTCGATCCCTAACATCACTGAAGGGACATTAATTGTCGAAATCCGGATATGGTGTACAAATTTTTGCACCTCATGTTTGTGGTATATCATCTTTTCCACTAGTTTATTGTTTTCTGTTTGGTATTAAATTAATATTAAGATCCATTTTGTTAGATCTGGTGATCAATTTATTTGGCAATCGCCAATGGCAGTCAGCAAGGTTTAAGAACATCAGTTGTTCGACCTGTTAGTCAAATGCGTTTTGTTAAAATAGACTTTTTCACTTTTTTTGGTCTTTTGGAAATTGTTGTTTGTGCTGTATTTAGACCCCTCTACCAAGAAATTTGTTTTACATGCACACGTATAAAAATTGCGGTTTTTATCCAACGCAATCATAGGTTTGAACGTTGTTTTCAATTTAGACTTTTATATATATATATATATATATATATATATATATATATAACGGGTTTACTGTTCCTTACCTGCTAAGCCTTTTATTTATATTGTTTCTGATTTTAGACGAGCTACTGCAGATGCCTGGTCTCTTTTTGATTATAACTTTGCACAGTCGATAGGAATAATGACATTTGGTAAGTATATATTCAAGCATCAAGGATACCAGGTTTTTAATTTGATACGTCAGACGCGCGTATCATCTTCAAGATTACAAAAGTAGAGCTTGAATCAAAACAATTGGAAAACCAAATTAATGACGTCAATAACAAACTAAAATAGGTAAACACAAAAATTATGTCAAATCTAGTACGGCCAACTTTCCCTGTGTGTAGGAAATCACTAGTGTTTGAACATTTTATAAAGGATAACTTTTCAGAACATGATCGGTTCTATGATATTCCATGTGAGCACCACAGTTATGACTACAGGGGTGATGATACCCTCTAAGGAACAAATGGAGAAAATTATTCGTGAAGAAGTATTTATTTTGAAACTTTTGTTCAATTTGAAACACATTCTTACATAAACATTTCAATTATACTTATAAAACTACAAAAGGAAATATTATATATACATCAATATCACAACACCACAGCAGCACACACAAAACCAAAATATATATCTAGTAATTAGCAATAGTCGAGTGCATATAAAGCATGCCAAACCATAGATCGCTGACAAAAGTCAAGTGCCTATACAGCATGCCAAACCATAGATCACTGACAAAAGTCAAGAGCCTATAAAGCATGCCAAACCATAGATCACTGACAATAGTCGAGAGCCTATACAGTTTGTCAAACAATAGATCACTGACAATAGTCAAGAGCCTATACAGCATGCTAAACCATAGATCGCTGACAATAGTTAAGTGCATATACAGTATGCCAAACCATAAATCACTTACAATAGTCAAGTGCCTATCCAACATGCCAAACCATAAATCACCGACAATAGTCAAGTGCCTATACAACATGCCAAACCATTTATCACTCAAAATTGTCAAGTGCCTATACAGCATGCCAAACCATAGATCACTGACAATAGTCAAGAGTATATCAAGCATGCCAAACCATAAATCGCTGACAATAGTCAAGAGACTATACAGCATGTCAAACAATATATCACTGACAATATTCAACAGCCTAAACAGCATGCCAAACCATAAATCACTGACAATAGTCGAGAGCCTATACAGCATGTCAAACCATAAATCACTGACAATAGTCGAGAGCCTATACAGCATGTCAAACCATAGATCAATGACAATAGTCAAGAGCCTATACAGCATGCTAAACCATAGATCGCTGATAATAGTAAAGTGCCTATACAGTATGCCAAACCATAAATCACTGACAATAGTCAAGTGCCTATCCAGCATGCCAAACCATAGATCACTGACAATAGTCAAGTGCCTATACAACATGCCAAACCACATATCACTCAAAATAGTCAAGTGCCTATACTGCATGCCAAACCATAGATCACTGACAATAGTCAGGTGCCTATACAACATGCCATACCATAAACCACCGAGTATCTGGAATAGTTGTGACAAAATTTTTACAATGATTATCATAGATGTTTCAGTGCTTTGTTCCCCGTAAAATCAGTACACCAAACTCACTGAATGACAAACATTAATAAATTAAAACAAACGCTTATTACTTACAAGGATTCTAATTTGGACAGAATTGAATATGTTGAATGTAATTTTTATTTATTAAGATAAACTAGGGAATGTCCAGTATGATTTATTGTTTAATTCCCAGTGTTACATGTTTTGTTATGATCTGCACTATACTCTCTTTTTAATGTGAAGCATAACAGCTGTGGTAAACATGTGTATATTATCTGCTTATTATTGGGAATTTTATTTTTTTGCAGCATATATGTGTCACCATAACACATTTCTGATACACCAGTCACTAGAGAATCCAACAGAAAAGAGATTTCAAATTGTGACGCATTTCAGTTTTTTATTTTCATTGTTAATTATGCTGCTGATTGGCGTTCTCGGCTATGTTACATTCACAGGATATACCCAAGGTAATTATGCTGCCATTTCTTGGCTATGTTACATTCACAGGATATACCCAAGGTAATTATGCTGCCATTTCTCGGCTATGTTACATTCACAGGATATACACAAGGTAATTATGCTGTCATTTCTCGGCTATGTTACATTCACAGGATATACCCAAGATTATTATGCTGTCATTTCTCGGCTATGTTACATTCACTGGATATACCCAAGGTAATTATGCTGCCGATTCGCATTCTAGGCTATGTTACATTCACATAATAAACCCAAGGTAATTATGCTGCTGATTGGTCATTCTCGTCTATGTTACATTAACAGGATTTTACTAAAGGTAATCAAGCGGCTGATTGGCATTATCCGCTTTGTAACATTCAGAGGATATACCCAAGGGAAAATTTTTGCTGACTGGCATGCTCGGCTATGTAATATCACAAAACATACCCAAGCTAAATTTGCTGCTGATTGGCATTTTCGGCTATGTAACATTTACAGAACATGCCCAAGTAGTGCTGATTGGTCATTCTCGGCTATGTTGCATTCATAGAATATTCCCTGTGGAGTAGGATCTGCTTACCCTTCCGGAGCACCTGAGATCACCCACAGTTTTTTGGTGGGGTTCGTGTTGCTCAGTCTTTAGTTTTCTATGTTGTGTTTTGTGTACTATTGTTTGTCTGTCTGTTTCTTTTTTTTTTTGCCATGGCGCTGTCAGTTTATTTTCGACTTGTGAGTTTGAATGTCCCTTTGGTATCTTTCGCCCCTCTTCCCAAGGTAATTATGTTTGGCGTTCTCGGCTATGTTACATTGAAAGAATATACCCAAGGTAGTTATGGTGCTGATAGGTCATTTTCGGCTAAGTTACATTCACATGAGATTCCTATGATAATAATGCTTCTTATTGGCATACCTGACTATGTAACATTCACAGGATCTACCCAAGTGAAATATGCTGCCTATTGGCATTTTGGGCTGTTTTTATTAACATAATATACCCTAGTAACTATGCTGTCGACTTGCATTCCTAGCTTTCTAGCATTTACATTTTTTCCAAGTTAATTATGCAGCTGATTGATACATCCTAGGTTAGTAGTAACAACATAGTCATTAGTTCTAGATTGGTTTCCTTGTGATAAATGTTTTATTAAAATTAATATGCTGGTATGCTGATTTATCGGCATGTGTACATTTTCCCTTTGATCTTACTGTCTAATATTTTTTAGATCATGGACATGACTAGATAGTCAAAAAAATCAGACAATGACGTCATGTATCAGTGCAGCAGCGACACATGTTCATGTCCATCCGCGAAAAATTATCAAATGGAACTATCGCAACGTTTTGTACGCGTAAAAATATCTTTTACTCTCTATTTCATTTTCTTTCATATCCTCAATAAAAAAAACATAAAAGTTGAGACAAATTGCCGATTAAAAGAGTAATTGCGTTTTATATTTTAATACTGACCTCACACTAGCTCACACTAGCTGGCTCGCCTAAATTTCTGGCTGATAAAATCAGTATCAAAAGCAAAAATGCCATTATTGTATAAATATTCCCTCAGTTTCTGTTTGTTACCATGATTTGTCTTTTCTTATCCATTTACGAGATGTGAAGATAGGTAAACTACTGTCGCCTGAATATTCCATTTTCCTTTCTTCTTATTATTTTTACATTAACTGGTGTCTGTTTTAAGATACACAGTTGTACGTTTATCCTTGGTTGATGACACATATAAACGTACCCCTTTATTCCTTTGGCTGTTTCAACTTGCATATGAATCTGCTCACAAAATATCAACTTTTCAACGTAAACGGGACAAACTAATTAAACATATATGTACAAGTTTTTTTTTCTACACATTTATGCTCTGTTTTAGGTGATCTCTTGGAAAACTACTGCCGTACAGATGATTTGATGAATGTGGCTCGACTCTGTTTTGCTATAACTATTATGTTGACATATCCTCTAGAATGTTTTGTTGTTCGACATGTAAGTATTTAGGGATTTCTATTTCACAATATATGTCCATTGTATCAGTATAACTAATAGAATGCTCTGTTGTTCGTCATGTAAGTGTTAAGATTTCCATTACACAATTTATGATCTGTAGAATGCTTTGTTGTTCGACATGTAAGTGTAATTTTCGATTAAGCATGATAAACTTCAAAAAGTACACATACAATGCGTCCATCGTGTATGTATCACCGCTTACATGATTTGTCGTCTATACTTACTTTGTTGTCAATCTTGTGACTATAACCACTAGTATGATTGTTTTATTATTTTGCGGAAATATATATGGACATATGTAAAACGGTTGCAAATATATATGGACATATGTAAAACGGTTGCAAAACTAACCAGCTTTTAAATTAAACAATTCTTTTAAATTAAGATAGCATTGATTTAATCCAAATGAAACTTAAACACAAAACGAGCTTAACAAATGCATAGTTTGTAATATTAATTTTTAATCAGAAGGCAACTGTTTCAAATATGTTTTTGTCGTTTTAGGTATTTGAGAATGCCTTCTTTGCAGTAACTGAAAAGGCTCCCATGTGGCGTCATCTAACAGTTACAATTTCTGTAGCAGCAGCAACAGTTCTTATTTCAATGACTACAGACTGTCTAGGCATTGTTTTGACGTTTAACGTAAGTAAACAATGTTTTCTAGTGGATATGAAAGAAATGAGTTGTGGGGTAACGTCAATGGGACAGTGGTCCAATCAACACATTTTAACAAAGATAACAGGAGGACAACATAAGACTTAAACAACAGACAGTGTGCTTACCTGTACGAAATGTGACGCCTGGAAATGACACAGAAACCAGGCGTAGAAATCATACTTTATCCTGGCGTCATTGCAGTGTTTAAGGAATGCATGTCCAGGCGTCAACCAGGCGTAAACCAGGCGGAAACCAAGCGTAACTGAGGCGGAAACCAGGCGTAAAATTAGGCGTAATATTTAAATGAGTATGCCTGGTTGACAGAAAACCAGGCGTAATATGCAAATGAGTACGCCTGGTCAATACATAAACCAGGCGTAATGTCCTTACATAATACTACACTTAATTTAAATCAGTGTACTAGCTGTGTACTTTGTGTATTTGATACAAACTTGTACTGTTGCTTAAAGTTCTCACTGTTTGACATAAAACTTGAAATATTAACCATTGAAGAAGCTATAAAGATAAATACATATCAGACAGACACTAGCATTTTGACTAAGTTGTTTTGAAAATTAATGTCATTTAATTACTAAAAAAATCAATGATAATACTGTAATTCAACTTGTGAAAGATTTAAATGTTATTATCCAAGGATGAGGGTCAATTCCAGAATTTGAAATTAATGGTAAAAAATAAAAAATTCATAACTTAGTTACTCACATAATTATTATTTACCATGTATACTACTTTCCTTTCATTTCACAATTTTTATTCATCAATTTGATTCCATAATTCCATAATTCCAATTTCAAATTCTTTCAAAAAGCACTAAAACTTAGCTAATTTCCCCTGAATATATCAAGCTGCCATATGTCCAACTCTTGCAAGTTACAAGGGAGCCAAATTTTGAAAACATTTCCCATGACATTAAACAAAGCATTATGGGTATAATGATTGACGCCTTTCCAACAGTTTTACGCCCTTAGAAAAAATTACGCCTGGCTTATATCAATTTACGCCAGGTTTACCACTTTTTCCTACGCCTGTAAATGCTACAAATTTACGTTTCCTGCTCCATTACGCCTGGATCTGGACACGTAACTACCACTTACGCCTGGTTTACGCCAGATTTCCAGGCGTAATACGCCTTATAATTTCGTACGGGTAATGATAATTAAAGCTTTGTGAATAAATAAAACATACACTATTAAAGATATACACAAAGCTCAATTAACAAAAATATTACGACATGGGGTAGATTGCATAACTCAGAACTTAATTATTTCATTGTGCAATTTTGAATGAAAAGACAACGATTCAGGCAAATGTGTTGGTTAGTACTGCTGGGTTGTATCGAAACCAATGCTTGTCAGCGTTTCTGTGCTGCCATACAAATATCATTTATACGGTAATTTCTTTTTATAAACTTACTTCTCATGGTATGTAAAAATCATTCGAATCGCCAAGGTTTTTACTACCTCCAGACATAGATGGCCTTATCAGGATTTGGCAAAATCTTTTGGAACTTATGTAATTCAAGGCTCTTTAACTTTATATTTGATTTACCTTTCCAACTGGTTTGATATTTCTTCCCCAGGCATGAACAACTTATGTCAGATTAAGCAAAACTTTTACGAACTATTCAATGCTCCTCAACTTCGTAATTGATTTTATTTTCCAATTGGTTTTATTAGATCCCCACTGGTAAGTTGAGTGTAGACGAAACGCGCCACAGCGTACTTAATCATAAGGCTGGTAGGTTTGGAGGGTTTTTAGCTCACCTTTCCGATGGAACTGTGAGTTTTTGCCATCACTTGGCGTCCGTCGTCGTCGTCCGTCCGGTGTAAACTATTTCAAACATCTTCTCCTCTGAAACTACTGAACCAATTCCAACCAAACTTAAGCTGAATGATCCTAAGGGTATCTAGAATAAAGTCTGTGTTTTATTTCTGTTTCGTCAAAAAACATGGCCGCCATAGTTAAAAATAGAACATAGGGGTAAAATGCAGTTTTTGGCTTATATCTCAAAAACTAAAGCATTTAGAGCAAATCTGACATGGGTAAAAATGTTCATTAGGTCAATTTCTATCAGCCCTGAAATTTTCATTGTTGGGTTGCTGCCACTAAATTGGTAATTTTAATGAAATTTTGCAGTTTTTGGTTATTATCTTGAATATTATTATAGATAAAGATAAACTGTAAACAGCAAAAATGTTCAGCAAAGTAAGATCTACAAATAAGTTTTTATATGACCAAAATTGTCAATTGACCCCTTAAGGAGTTATTGCCCTTTAAGGACAATTTTGCACAATTTTTATCATGTTTTCTAAATTAAAAATCTTCTCCTCTGAAACTACTGAACCAATTCCAACCAAACTTAAGCTGAATGATTCTTAGGTTATCTAGAATAAAGTGTGTGTTTTATTTTCTGTTTCCTCAGAAAACATGGCCGCCATGGCTAAAAATAGAACATAGGGTAAAATGCATTTTTTGACCTATATGTCAAAAACTAAAGCATTAAGAGCAAATCAGACAAGAAGTTAAAGTATTCATTTGGTCAAGGTCTACCTGCCCTGATATTATCAGCCAAATCGGGTATCTGATTTTTAGGTTATTGCCCCTGAATTGATGATTTTAAGGACATTTTGCAGTTTTCGGTTATTATCTTGAATATTATTATAGATAAAGATAAACAAAGTGTAAACAGCAAAAATGTTCAGCAAAGTAAGATCTACAAATAAGTTCATATGATTAAAATTGTCAATTGACCCCTGAAGGAGTTATTGTCCTTTAGAGGCAATTTTTCACAATTTGTTCATCTAATCTAGTTTGCTTACTTTAAAAAATCTTCTCCTTTGAAACTGCTGAATCAATTTCAGCCAAACTTGGGCTGAATAAGTTTCAGAGTATCTTGTATAAATTTTGTATTTTATTTTCTTGTACGTCAAGAAACATAGCCACTATGGCTAAAATGGACATAGGGGTAAAATGCATTTTTTTGCTTTTGAAGAAAATATGACAGATACAAAGAACATTTAAATGGCATTTTTAAGCCACTCATTCATATATATTGAAAAGCAAAAAATAATCATTGATGAAAGATTTAAGCAAAAAATTACAGGTGAGCGATTCAGGCTCTTGAGAGCCTCTTGTTTATTATTTTAATTTAAGATTGGTAAATGTGGTGGCATTAAGTAATTTGTATGCAGTGTGATTTTTGCTGTTATATATGATCTCATTTAGTACATTATAGTCATGTCAAAATTGTTGTGAAAATAATATGGCTTGGGTCACATTCAAGTTTATGAAAGTAGACTTTTGCTCAACCATTTGAAAATAAATATAGACTATTGGTAGTAGGCGTGAGGAAACATCGTTTGATAGCTGCTATCCATTGAATCTCATTATCTATTGACTCTCATGATCACTTTCCATTGACTTGCACTACCAAAATTGACATACAACGATCACTATACGACAACAAGAACTTAATAGCATGACAAGATCCTGTTCCCTTTAAGTTGATACAATTTGTGAATATTTTCTACAGAGACAACTAAATATCTCACACGGATCGTTGATATTAATTTGAACTAAATGTTTAGATTATTCATTGCTTTCACCTTTTAATCAATCAGTTGAAAAACAAAATATTCGCTTAGAACCAGTAGAACTGAAAACATATAAAACGTTGAATAAAACAAAACATCGAGGTACATTAGATATTTACCACTGGACTTTGCAGTACTAGTTATTGAAAGCAGCCTGTAACAATCTCATAATGGTTACTTAACTTCTTGATATTTCCCATGACTTCATACCTCTAATTTAGAATTACGTAAAAAATCTGTAAAAACGTTTAACCAATATTACCAGCATTTAACAGTGCATTTAGACTTGTACAATAAATCAACATTCTATTAAATTGATGTCTTAGAACAATCAAACTCAATCAAACTCAAGATCGTTTACGTTATCATTACTGGAACACCAATAAGTGTTAATACTAGTATGCAAATAAAACTGCATGCCCACAGCAATATGAAAAAAGAGAAGTGGTATGATTGTCCATGTGACAACAATCAAACAGAGTCCAAATAAAGCGTATATTTTGCTAGATGAAGTTTTTACACTGTCAACAGCATTCATTTTGTTACACTGCCAACATCATTCATTTTGTTACACTGCCAACAACATTCATTTGACTATCATTTATAGATGAATTTAAAATAGGTCCTAAACAATAAGGTTCAATATTGTATGTTTATTTTATTTTTAGGGAGTAGTTGTGGCGTGTCCATTAGCATTCATTATACCACCGTTATGTGTTATGAAATTAAGACAAGAGCCAGTTTTATCAAAAGAGAATATTTTCCCAATATTAGTGGCTACTTTTGGAATTTTGGCTTCCGTAATCGGAGTGATAGTAGCAGTATATAATTTGACAAAGGGTATTGAATGTAGTCATGGTAACGAAATGTTTTATTGTCTAACGGCTTCTCGTATAAATGGAAGCATGCTAGCATCAAATACGACATTATAAAACTACTATCATTAAACTGTGCCACTTTAACTAATGTACATGACTGTATTGTCCACAAGGCAAGTCCTCCTACAAAGGTTTTAAGGTATAAGATATGTATGTAAAATATTTACTACTAGAAAAATTGAAACCATATGGATGAAATCTATTATTCGAAACAAGAACAGAAAACAGAAGACATCTTTATGTTTTATTGTGATCTGTTTAATGTTAATTCGGTTTTTATAATGGCATTAGATTGGATTGGTTATTAAATAATGTATTTAATTTGAGAAATGTTCGATATTTTCTGTCATCATGTTTTTATCTTATACATAATATGATGTTCATAATGTACTTCAACTTATTCTGTAACACTATACAAAATCTGGTGCAACATAATAAATAATCATTTGTTTCTCTTACATTAATAGTGGTTTGCTGCAATACATTTTAAAAATATCACTAGTGACTAATAGGGTTTTTATATTATTTGTATCACAATGTGTTTTAATTGTGGGGGATTATGAAAATTATTAGATGTTATTTAGGTTTATAATATAAATATATTCAATAAAATAAATCAAAGAAACATTTCATACCTCGGAACATCTGCAATTAAGAAATAGAAAGACATCTGCAAGTGAAAAATAGGAAGACATTTGCAAGTGAAATATAAAAAGACATCTGCTATTGAAAAATAAGAAGACATTAACAATTGAAAAATAGGAATACATCTAGAGGTTTATAAAACATTATAAATAGAAAGATGATAACAACAACATTAGAAAAAGAAAGAAAGTAAACGGAGAAACACCAAATATTACAAACAAGATAATGCCTCCAAATAATAACTTTCAACTTTGGTGGCACAAATCGTGAATTGAAACATCACTGTATGCGTAAAACAAAAATGTCTTTCCAAACATGAAACTAATAATTTTATATAAGTAGCTAAAATGTTGATGTATAACTAATTATTGGTTAATTTGTTGTATTACTGGTGTTCAAATATTGTTCACATTTTTCTTGTTATTTTTCATATGTTGCTGAAACGTTAATAAAAATTGTTCAAGGGATGCTTTATTTCATCATGTAGTTTGTAAGATAATAGAGTTAATAAAGGTGTCCAGATGTATTGGACACTTTTAACTGTGAACTCCTACTTTGGCAGCTAATACGTTAAAAACCTCGTCAAGGGTCTGGTCTCTTTTCTATCTAAGACCATCATTCCAGAAACAAATGTCTTTATCCTATTCCGTAAATCAGTATCTCGATTTCATTTCTGTTACTCTTTAAATATCTCTAATATAACTAACAAGTTTTGTAAGTATGACATGAATAAAATGATATTTGGGATATTCGCCGATGAAGCAGAGACCAACGGCAAATAGTTCATCGTTTGGTGTTCAACAACAGATAGGCGTCTTTATATATATATCAAATTAATAGTCAGACCAAAAATAAATCAAGGCATCAGAAGTTAACCGACATGTAATCTCAAAGATCGATTTAGAACACAATTCAAAGTAACCAAACAAAAACTGAAAGAACCGCATGAACTCCAAAAAGGAGCGATACCGGTTGCGTCGACAGGGTAAAAATGATAACATTGCTTTATAAATTTCATGCGTCCGAAGCGCTTTTCTGAATTTCCCTTCATCCGGAACACTCAAAGTCGAAAAATAAAAGCCAAATCAATCCTAGGTCAACTTGTCCTGATGGAGTTAATCCCTTAGTTTCTTGATAATTTATAAATGTATAAACGGACAATTTTTTAAAAAAATTGAAGGCGAAAGATACCAAAGAAATATTCAAACTCATAGATCGAAAACAAACTGACAATGTCATGGCAAAAAACAGATAACGCCGATAAGGACAAACAATAGTAAACAAAACACAGCATAGAAAACTAGTTCATGCCCAGTCAAATATCACAATCGAGAAAGGACACAATTGGTGAATTACCGATCATGCGACTATATTGGTATCTAAATATCTGAGATTGCGAAAATAATTTGTGATGCTATCCGTAAAACTTGTGAAGTGTCGATATAAGTCAGTCTTCCTCATAACCCTGTTAGAGCAGTTTTGTGTAAGGAGCAGACCCTGCAAATTAAGTACGTATAGAGTGAACATGCACGACCGTAACAAATCTATATAAAGTATTAGAAAATTTATAAAATTTCTCATCCAGTTATTATATTTTCTACAAAAAACAAATTCAATTGAACAGTTCTTTTTTTTTAGATAAATCTACTGTGTCAAAATTAAATGTCTTACACAGTTATATTTAGCTTCAAAGTTAAATCATTACGTTATATATTTTGGATAAAAACTAAATTACTATTTAACACCTTGCAATACATATTGCGCAAAATTATTTAAGGGCCACTTTCATTCAAGTGATTTTGGTGATAAGTCACAGGCGGTGTAACACAATTGGAGAAAACAGGACAAAATTGTGGCTACGACTATAGTGATATATCAATGATCATCTGTGATGCAGATAAGCCATAAAGATCTAGCATATTATGATGGCGTCATTGAAACTTTCAAAGGGATGACTTTACGTCACCTAAATGAATCATTGGTTCAGTAGCTTTCATCTTTGCAGCACCCTCTAACAAGGAAATCATGACAGATAACGCATGGTCAGGAATAATGAATTTCGCTAAAAACATATATACTCCATAGGCAGAGGCGCCGCTGAAATGCTGCTACGTTAAATTGAAAGTTCATAATTGGAAAACTAAAATCTTCTCTTTTGTCTTAACTGTTAGTTCTCCACCATTCCTCATTGTCAAATTCTAAATGTAAGTCAAGAAAAGGCCAACTTAACTGTTTTCTGTGGTATCCTTTACTTCAAGTTCAACATAACCACCAAACGTAAATAATTACATGAGAGGATATCAATCGTTTTCCTCTTATAGTTGCTGTGTTTCTCTTGGTTTTAGTTTGAAACCCGGATTTGTTTTCTCTTAATCGATTTATGACTTTTGAACAGCGGTATACTACTGTTGCCTTTATTTATTGGGGGAACATGAAGTTCAAAGATACTGCTAGCTTTTTTTTTCATTTTTGTATGAGAAGCTCCTGTATGGAGTAAGCCTTGTATGAATAAAGGAACATGACGACAAGAGGAGAAGCGCTCTTGGTTCCAATAGCAATGCCTGTTGAAAACACACCCTCTGAACGAAACAAATATATTGCCAATAGAAAAATCAGGCATCTTTATTTGTGTCAATGTCAGAGAATTGTTGTTACATTTAGACATTGTTTCACCAAGTATCATTTAAGCTTCCAACTTCCTCATGCAAAGATGACCTTAGATGGATTTGGCTATTATTCTTAGGTTCATTTTGGTCATAAATCTCTCAAAGTGTTTCGGTACATATACTTCGTCGACTTTAAAATATTTGGCTTTGCGCGTTCCTAGAAAAGGGGAATCCTGAAAAGGACGCATACAATTTATAGTGTGTTATTTTCATTTTTTTATCCCTTTCTAAAACAAGATACTTATATCTACATAATATAAAAAGAAGATGTGGTATGATTGCCAATGCGACAACGCTCCACAATAGACCAAATGACACAGAAATTAACAACTATAGGTCACCGTACGACCTTCAACAATAAGGTTATTTTTTTATGAATCTACTTTTAAGTTTAGTCAAAATGATTTGTTTATACTATTATATGAGGAAAGAGAGATCGATTGTACGTACTCTTACAGATCTTTTGATTTTTTTCATATCCACATCTGAATCCCCTAAAGTAGATACTTTGACATTAATTTTGAAGCCATGTTTTTATTAATGATTACTTAGATATTAATAATATGAAAAGAGGTTTTGTAGAACATTTTTGTAGATCGGCAATATAACGTTGTTTATAAGGATACTTGTTTGTGTAATTTGTATCTATGATGAGTTTATTGGATAATCAATTCAGTAATATAAAAAAGATAACGAACTCCGAAGTATTTTCAAAAAGAGGAAGTCCATAAAAACTGACACAATCAAACTTTATTACCAACGGAACAAGTGAAAAACAACTGCCATATTCCTGACTTGGTACAGAAAGAAAATGTAGGGTTAAATGTTTTCGTTTTATAGCTAGCTAAACCTCCCACATGTATGACAGTTGTTTATAGTTCCGTTATATTTAGCAACCCAAACAGACATAATAGGTTACTGTGACAATAATTTGGATCCAGCAAACAAAACTGTGTAAATATATATAGGAAGATGTGGTATGAGTGCCAATGAGACAACTCTCCATCCAAGTTACAATTTATAAAAGTAAACCATGATAGGTTAAGGTACGGCCTTCAACACGGTGCATTGGCTCACACCGAACAGCAAGCTATAAAGGGCCCCAAAAATTACTAGTTTAAAACCATTCAAACGGAAAAACCAACGGTCTAATCTATATAAAAACGAGAAACGAGAAACACGTATGAACTACATAAACAGAAGACAACTACTGTAATCAGATTCCTGACTTAGGACAGGTGCAAGCAATTGCAGCGGGATTAAACGTTTTAATGGTACCAAACCTTCTCCCTTTTCTGAAACAATAATATAACATCACAACATAGAAAAACACACTATAAAATATCAATTGGAAGGCTTAACTCAATCAAAAAACGTAAATTAACACACAATGAACGAATAAATTTGACCTGTGACACCTGAATGCAAATACACAGTTAATAAAAAATTACAAGGGATAAATAATTAAAGTCAAAAGTAAATAAACAGGTTTAAACAAAGTTAAAGTATGATATCACTGTGAAATGTCAAACAATTTTTAGAAAATCATCACGTTTGAAGAAACCTGCGTCATATTAAACACAGGTAAATGAAAATAATTGTGTTGTTAAGTATACTTCTTCTTCTGTGGAAACATACATCACAGACAAACAACACTACTGACGTAAAAATTCAAACAAACTAACAAATTGATCTTATAAAGACGCTAACAAGAAAGGTGTAGTAGATAGTAAATTAAAATTTAACAATGACGTCAACAAAAAAACATTTTGTCGTGAAAGTACATACCGTATATAGTATATACACTTTCTTGATAAAGTGAAATTTAAGTAAATCTAAAAACAAGGGTAAACAAAATAGAAACAACAGTGTGAAAACTCTGTCCGAATCGCACGTCAGCAGCCACCTGCACCAGGAATGCCCAAAGTTAAACACTAAAAAACCCGATGGCGGGATGTATAAATACTGAGTCATGTCAAAAGTCATACGACTAAAAGGAACATAATAGCACGTAGTCAAATAACGGGGAAACTAAAAGTAAAATAAAAAGATTCACAGCTTCCAGCACCTATAATATATAACACAAGACTATCTTGTATTATTTGTGAAATACAACATTGTAGACACTAAATATTTATCTATTGGGTCTTGGTACTTTCCGATGAACATTTTGAGAAAAAGGACGAGACGTTCTTTGACAAAACCCTGGCTCATTCATTTTTTGCTCAGACACCGATGACGTTTTACCTATCTTTATCAGTAGCAGCTGCAAGCTCGTGAGTATCGTATGAGTTAAGAAATGTATACTCCATACAAGAAATGTATTATATACTGACCCACTTTTACTACTAAGTTTCGTAAAAAATCATATACTAGAATGGAAGGATTACATGCACTGCTATTTTTTGCAAAGGTCAAACATAGGGTTGTGCAGCATCTTTTTAACATTTATATACCTCTAGCTTCTAAGAGTCCGTACTACCCCTCCCTTCACTTTGAGTCTTGCTTGGAATTCAATTGACAGTTTTCACACTGCCTTTATACTGATAAAATTTCCAAGTTGTTTCTCATTGAGTTGATATCTGGGAACCAGTAGGTTAACAAAACAAAATATTTATGAATATAAAGTATCAAACCAAAAGAGGCGTAGTTGGTGAATCAGATGTAGTTACAACGTGCAACCTTCAGATATATTGATAATTGATGATGTTCTGTAACCCATACTTAAATAAATGATTAAATCTCATATCGCCAAATGAACATAAGATAAAGGATACTACCGAAAGTAGAAGGTCTGCT